ATTCACCTTCATAGTCAAATAATATAACTCCTAACTCAGGTTTAAAATGCAAAGAGTTGGGTGTATAGGGACCCTTATCTGGCAAGTCAAGATTCAACATAGAAATGTTTGTACTCTTATGACCCTTCAGGACTTCATCTAAGGAGAACCTTGTTTCATGTTCGTTCCTTAGGAATGGTCCATCATTAGGATCAGAGAGCTTGAGTTTCTTCTTTCCACCTTTCTTTAGAGTTGGCCTGTCAGGGACCTTGACATACCTGGACATCCTTTTGATGAGCTTGCTAATGGTGTCCTCGATAAGTGTCTTGTATCTCGACTTGGATTGCTGAATGGCTTGTCTGATCTCCATCCATTCGCTGAATCCATAACGGCCTAGGTAGGAAGGGTACTCGGTAACGGCATCAAGATTGTCCCTGGTGATGAGCATTGAGACTAGCGTTCCATCGTCTTTAAAACGTCCGCTGATGCTAACATTGATAATTGGGCAGGGACTGACTCTCTTTTTCAGCTTTGCTTCGCTCCATTGCTTGTCCTTTTCCGCTAGCTTCAGGTTCTTCGCATGCCCAGCTTCTGCAATAGAAAGAAGTTTAGCCTGGGCTTGGATAGCGTTCACCGTTTTCTTGGACTTTTTCTTGGGGAGGACTTGTGCTGCTAGTGACTTGACCAGCTTCAAGCTGTCTTCAGTCTGCTTCTTTTGAAGCTCTAGCCCTTCTTCAGCCCTTTATGCCATGAGTCTTTCAGCTTCAGACAATAAGTCAAACTCACCACCACTAGAGGTACGAAGAGGAATTTTTACACTAGTCTGGTCGAGTGACTCCTTCAGCTAAGACATCTTCTGGTCGGTAGGAGCATAAGAGATGGGTTGATCAGGTACCCGCTCCAGTCGACCGCAGGTTGTTGATGAAATATGAAGTTGATAGTTTGAAGTAATCACTACTTGAGAGGTAGAGTTTCAAACAAAGGTTGTTGAGGGATATTGAACAAAACCTTCAAGTTTCCTTCTTCAGCAACCGTCTTGCCTTTCGACTTGGGGTCCTGGTTCATTGTTGGAGTCGATTCACCTTGCCTTTGCTCCCCCTGGGATGCGGAATCCCTGAGGGCAACACCCTTGGTCACGGTTGATGGCTTCTGGAACTTGATGGTAAAGTCATTTTCATCATCATCGTCGTCGTCGCCATCTAGATCATTTCTGGGGTCTGGAATGGTAGGTTCATCATCGTCTTCATCATCATCATCTTCATCATCATCATTATCACCAGCAGCAGTGATGGTATGGGTATCATCCCTAGGGATGGCATCGACATCCTCAGCTGGAGCAGCTTTGGTGGTCGTGATTACAGGAGCAGCAACTGCTTCAGCTCTAAGAGCCTCAGCTTCAACTACAACTATAGCTGATACAGGACCAACAGCCTGAGAATAAGTAAGCACAGCATTGGATGATTCACCAGCGTTGGACCTCATCTCCTCCTCTCTGGCTAAGACTTGAGAGAATTGGCCAGAGAGTTCGTCCAAGCGCTGATGGTGGAGAACCATTATATCCTCTAGCCTTTGCAAAGCATTGGCTAGAGTTGTCGTTCCCTTACGCGTCTCATGGAGCTGGGCGCGATCACTGGCAGAGAAAGAAGGAGGGATCACTGGAGCTGGTTGATGAACAGCATCCAGGATCTGTTGAAGAAGGCTAGTCTACTGATCAGCAATAGCCTGAGCATCATCAGCCCTGCTGTGAAGAACATCAATGGCATCGGTGTTGGCTTAAACAACTTCTTTGAGAGTATGGCGATGATTCTGAACCTCTTGAATGTCCGCCTGGATGGCAAGGAATTTCGCATCAAGATCACCTTGGCAGGGCATCTCTTGGTGGACTTCGTTGATCCTGCAGAGGACAGTATCAACGGCTGGAAGGAGAAGTTTGATGTTTGATGCCATATCATAGGCATCATCGATCTCTTCATCTTTTCCATCATCTTTCTCTCTTTCTCCTCCATCATCTTTCTCTCTTTCTTCCTCTTCCTCTTCCTGAGCATCAAACTGATGCATCGAAGAAGGACCTGCAAAAGAAGAAGTGTGAGCTGAAGGCTCAAGGTTAAAAGAAAAGAAAGGGTAGGAAGATGGAATACCTGAGGGGCCATCAGTGATATCTAAAGGATTGTCACTGGCGTGAGCAAAGATGTCCTCAAGAGGATGGACATCGGTATGTAGAGGAGCAACCTCAGGTCCAGTGGTGCGCGTCTCAGTATCAGGAAGGACAGTCACTGATACGTCATCGACATGCGTAAAGACCAAGGAGGGAGGAGAAGAGAAAATGGTTGAGAAGAGACGTGGGTGTTCAGCGGTGGCGGCGTTGATATTCACACCTTCAGTGATTTGGGTCACTAAGGCGGTGAGGGTAGGTAACACTGATACGACAGTGATGGGAGAAATCACTGAAGAGCTGGGAGGGAGAGAAGAAGACACCTCGGGGATAATGCTAGTTTCAATAACTGAAGCCTTTTGAGAGGCTCCAGCTAGTGACGTGGCTGTCCCCTTTTTGGACTTCTTGGCTCTCTCAGGAGAACCAAGAGTTGGTTGAGAGGGTCGTTTTGAAGGGGTTTTGGTTGCTTGGCTAGACGCGGGGTGATTTTCCCTTGTCATTGCCACCTGAGGAAAAGAGGTAGTGATGGACACAATGGAAGTTAGTGCCACATCACTGTCCCTCAGCTTATGATCCAGAATCCTGGATCCAAGCGTGAAAACCTGAAGGTTTCCTTCTTCAAGGTAAAGATCTTTAAAGATCTTGGTAAGATCTTGAGCACCAGGTCATCGAAAATGACCGCAGCATAATTTATATTGCGATGCTAAATCGCAGATACGCCTATGATCAAGGCGATCCTAGAGGACTGGTCCTGACCTCCAGTTTCTCTACCCATGCACTAGATGAAATGAGAAAACAGGTATTGCCAGACAGCTGACATCCTGTTCTTCTCAATCTTCGTCAAGGACTTCAGAAGGGCATTGGAGTCCTTCTTCATTGGCCACTGGTAGCCAATGGCGTCGAGAAACTCGATGATATCGGTAGTGGAGGGTTCGTTGTCGAAGGGACCCTTGGGAGGACGGAGAGACGATCAGAGTGTAGAAACACCAAAGTTCACTTCCATGCGATTAAAAGTGAAATGGATCTACTCCATCTGGCATCCAGCCTTGTCTTTGACTTCGACAACCTCAACAGTGAGACAGAACTGCTAAAGAAGTTCTTTCACCATGATGGGCTCATGGTTGAGAGCGAAACCCAATGACGATGCTTGAGGAAGTCAGCCGCGTCTTGGTAAAACGCCTTGGAGGATGGTATCTCCAACATGGCAATGTGGTTGTTAGCCTTGATGGAGGTCTCATCAAGGGAGAAGTTGACGTTCTTGGCAGCCATCTGTTTGTCATGCAAACTGTTAGCTCTCATTTCATTTAATGTAAAAGTATGGAAAAAGTAAATACTGCAAGTGTTGACAGAAGAGGKTMYACCACAGAAGACCACAGAGGACCAACAACAGAAGATGTTCAATCGTACAAGTGAAG